GCCGGCCTACGAAGACGACTCCCCGCCGGAGGACGAGGAGGAGCTGCTGGTCCACGTCACCGAGGGGCTGAAAGGTACCCGGGCGGGCGCCGGGCTTCGGGGTGGCCGGAGGGGGCCGTCCGGGGAGAGTCCTCGCTGCCAAGTTGTCTTTTCTCCTCTTCCCAGATTCCTGGCATCACATCAAGAACTTGGATAACTTCTTCACCAAAATATCCTTTGGGGCAGCCATTGCGGTGCCGCTTCCTGGCGCTGATGCTCCTGGGAACATCCCAGCCCCAAAGGGAGGGCGTGCGGCTCTTTGCTGCTTGCTGATCCTAGCGGGGTGGGGTGGAGGGTGAGGACTGTGGCTAGCCAACCACAAAGCTGCTTTTGGTGAGCGGCAGGCCAGGTGAACCGAGCGGGTATTGCGGTCACCTCGTGCCTTTTGCCGGAACAAGCAATCCGTATTGAGGCTCCCCAAAGTGCCCCACATCGTCGTAGCTTCATCCGCTGTGCTTGTGAACCCATCACGCGAGTCAGGCAGGAGGGCAGTGGGGTGCCCTCAGCCAGGCGTGGCAGCCAACGTGTTTTCCTTTGACGGCTCCCGTACATCTATCATTTTCATCAGAAGAACGGCTTCAGCTGCATGATGCTTTCGGACATCTTTGAGTTGGTGTAAGGACTCCAGCCACTACCCAGCTCCTTCTGGGCAGGGTGGTGGAAGGCAGCAGAAGGGGGCATGTATTTGGGGAGGGGGCTGTGCAGTCTGCTCCCCTTTCCCCTCCCAATCTTTGTCAGGGACAGCATTGGAACTCAGCTCTGGCTTCTTTTGGCATCTTGGTAAAAGAGGGCTGTTCCTCCTTTGCCAGCCCTGCCCTGGCGCAGGCATTCTCCGTGGGACTCAGGATAAGCTTTGGAAGATGCGTGGCCCAGAAAATGGGGAGGCCTTTCACTGCCAAGCCCTCCCTTGCCCCCAGTTTCCGTGCCTGTCAGCCCTCCGCACGGGCACTGCTGTCTCTGCTGGAGTGGTTGGCCAGCCTGCTGACCTGTGGCGGCAGATGACCAAAGGACACCCCCCTCCCCAGGCAGTTCCTGTTTGTGGCCACTTTTTCCACCTTCCTGCTGTGCTGTGTGGAGTACGATATCCTCTTTGCCAACCAGCCGGTCAATCGCACTCACCAGGGAGGAGGCGGTGGCAGTCTCATGCCCGACCGGGGCAAGGTGACGCTCCCGGATGCCATCCTGCCAGCTTCTCAGTGTGCCCAGAGGTGAGCAGTGGTGGGCAAACCAGGGGTCTCAGCTGCCCTCCGGCCTCCAGATCCTCCAGTACTTAGTGGATGTTAGGGGCTGAGTAAAAGAGGGCAACAGAAGCCTTTTGGTGGCTCTGCTGAGATGCAGCAGCCGCCAGCCGGGCAGAGCCAGAGATGATACCTGGCTAGTTCTTCCTTCACAGTATCTTATTGGTCGAGGATAGGCTGCCTCAGAATGCGGACTTTCTCTTTTTCTGCTACGGTTGAGAGGCCCAATAGAAATAGGTGGCCTGTGCAGAAGGTCACATCCTGGGGTGGTTTGACTGCTTATGTGGGGCAAGGAGGGAGGCAGGCAGGTCAAGTTCATGTCCTCGGATAGCAGGGTGGCTTGTGGCCTTGAGGTGGTGCTGGTGATGCTGGGCGGAAGAGACTTCTCTGCTGAGACGAGACCCGTCGGCACCCAGCTTTGGCTCAGTTCAGAAATTCGTGCTTGCTGAGCGCTGTTTCTGTGCAAGAGCCTTGAGCTGCCTGCAAGGCTGGAGTTCTGCAAGTGGGAGCCGGCTGGGGAGCCAAGCTGCCAGAGAGCAACGCTCACCTCTCCCGGCTGCTCTCGGGCTCTTCCAAAGCACGCGTAAACTCCTGTCCCTTTCCGCGTATCTGGTGGCTGGCTAGAGAGCGCCACGTTCCTGGAAAACATCCCCCTTGGCTGTGCTTGTGTGCAACCGGAGATGCCCTTGCGCAAGGGACCAGCTGACGCTGACATCCTCCCCAGGATCCAGGCCAGCGGCGGCATCATCTTCCTGCTGGTGATGGCTGCCACCTTCTGGCTGTTCCGCCTGGCGAAGGTCCTCTGCAGCCTGCTGGGCTACTGGGAGATCCGCTCCTTTTACACCAAGGCTCTCAAGATCCCTTCGGTGAGGGCACGTGGGGGGTCGGCCTGGGGACCGCGTCCTCCTCTCTTCACCGCGCTTCACAGAGGGCACGCAGTCTGGTCTGCGCAGCCCACGTTTGCTCCTCGTAGAAGTAAGGAGAAGGAAAGAGAAACACTTTGAGTCTCCTGCGTTTCTGCGCTGGGCATGAAGAGGTGTTGTCCTCTCCGAGGCTGAACAGAAACCAGGCGGGCAAGCCGGGCCCCTGTGCCCACTCGTTTGACCGTAAGGGAATTTCGTGCACTCCCATGCCCAGACTCCTTGGCCTCCAGGACCCTCGAGCTGTGGAGGAAGCCTGCCTCTGTAGGAGCAAGGAGCTGCGTGGGCTCCCCAGAGCAAGGCCGTCTGCCATTTCTGGAGCCTGGGCAGGAGTCTGTCAGGACTATCCTAGACAATGGCAGGAAGCAGCTGCTTGTGGGGAGGGGCGTTCTCATTCTGCTAGCGCGCCAGGAAGGCGGGCAACCCTTAGATGAGGCAAGGGGACTTAGGGGGCATCTGCTTAGTCTAGCCCAGATCCCCTGCAGCTCCTTGGTTTCTGATGGGTCCTTCTTGCCCCCACCCACCCAGAGAGGCTGCTGGGAATTACACCCTTTGCAGGCAGAGCAGGCGCCTGCCTGCTCCTTGCAGAGGTAGAGCGGGAGGGCGGGGCTGGCTCCTCCCACAGGCTTGCCTCTTCCAAGAGGGCCGGGGGGCAGCCCTTCGGTCACTCGGTGGGGACGTCCCCGTGGGGGCTTTAAGCCATGAATTCACGCCTCAGGAGCGGCCGCCAGCCAGACACAGGCCACCTGACCCTCCTACCCCTCTCGGCAGGAGCAGCTGCGCAACTGCAGCTGGCAGGAGGTGCAGGCGCGGCTGATCTCGCTCCAGCGGGAGCAGCAGATGTGCGTCCACAAGCGAGAGCTGACGGAGCTGGACATCCACCATCGCATCCTGCGCTTCAAGAACTACCTGGTGGCCATGGTGAACAAGTCCCTCCTGCCCGTCCGCTTCCGCCTGCCCCTGCTGGGCCGGGGCGTCTTCCTGACCCAGGGCCTCAAGTACAACCTGGAGCTGCTGCTCTTCTGGGGGCCGGGCTCCCTCTTCCAGGGCAAGTGGAACCTCCAGCCCCAGTACAAGCGGGCCAGCGCCCGCCTGGAGCTTGCCCACCGCCTGGAGCGCAGCCTGCTGCTGCTGGGGCTGGCCAACCTGCTGCTCTGCCCCTTCATCCTGGTCTGGCAGGTGCTCTACGCCTTCTTCAGCTACACGGAAGTGCTCAAGCGGGAGCCGGGCAGCCTGGGGGCCCGCCGCTGGTCGCTCTACGGCCGCCTCTACCTGCGCCACTTCAACGAGCTGGACCACGAGCTGCAGGCCCGCCTGAGCCGCGGCTACAAGCCAGCCTCGAAGTACATGAACTCGTTCACCAGCCCGTTGCTGACCGTGCTGGCCAAGAACATTGGCTTCTTCGCCGGCTCCATCCTGGCAGTCCTCATCGCCCTCACCATCTACGACGAGGACGTCCTCACCGTCCAGCACATCCTGACCGCCATCACGCTTCTGGGGCTCATCGTCACCGTGGCTAGGTAGGGGCTGACGCAGGGCTCTGCCTTTTGCTGCCAGGAGGAGAGACCCTGCAAGGAGGCCCCCCAAAAGAAGCCAGCGCATTCCAGCGCCAGTTAGCAGGACGGGGCTGAGCGTTTCTTCTGGCGTGGCCTGAAAGGTCACCTTGCAGCCTTTGTTCTTTTCCCAACTGGCCGACTTCTGGACTTCCATAGAAACGCTGGTCTGTGTGTTCGGGCCTCCCTCCCTCCCTCCCCTTGCCCCTTCTGGGCAGCCGTGCTGTTTCTCAGCTCCGGAAGACCCTCCTCAACTTTGAGGGGTTCCTGTAGGCAGGAAGCTTCTGGGATTCAGGCTGGGGTCTGCCTTTGTCCCCAAGGTGGAGGCCTGGGCGGAGGAAGCTCCATGGCAGTGGAGGGCAGAGGGATGGGCAAGGCCCTTTGACAAGGAAACCCAAGAGCCCAAACCCCGGAGCTCTCTGGCTGTGCCTTTCGGAACATCCTGGTGATGATTCCCCCCACCCCCACCCCTGGCAGGGCGTTCATCCCAGATGAGCACCTGGTGTGGTGTCCAGAGCAGCTTCTCCAGTGCGTCTTGGCTCACATCCACTACATCCCTGACCACTGGCAAGGCAATGCCCACAAGTCGGAGACACGCGAGGA